AGAAGATCAAATAAAGAGCTTCCCAGACAAAAAATGGCTAAGGGAATACATTAGCACCAAACCAGCACTGCAAGAAATGTTAAAAGGCCTGCTGTAATTAGCAGTAGAAATGGGAAAAAAAATAGAACCACACTAAACAAAAATGGCAATAAATAAGTACATATCAATAATCACCTTAAACGTAAATGGATTGAATGCTCCCATAAAAAGACACAGAGTAGCTGATTGGATAAGAAAGCATGACTCATCTATATGTTGTTTACAAGAGACCCACCTCTCAACAAAAGACTCACATAGGTTGAAAGTGAAGGGATGGAAAAAAATTTTCCAAGCAAATGGAAAGCAAAAAAAAGCTGGGGTAGCAATTCTCATATCTGATATCATAGATTTCAAAATGAAGACCATAACTAGAGACAAAGAAGGCCACTATATAATATTGAAAGGATCTATCCAACAGGAAGATATAACCTTGATAAACATATATGCACCCAATATAGGAGCACCAAAATATATTAAAAATCTTCTGGAGGACTTCCAAGGAGAAATCGACAACAATACAATCATAGCAGGGGACTTCAACACCCCATTGACAGCACTGGATAGATCCTCTAGGCAAAAAATTAGCAAGGAAACAGAGACTCTAAATGAAGCACTAGACCAAATGGATTTAATAGATATCTACAGAGAATTACACCCCAAAACTACAGAATTCACATTCTTCTCAAGTGCACATGGGACATTCTCAAAGATAGACCACATGATAGGACACAAACTAAATCTCTACAAGTTCAAGAAGATTGAAATCATATCAAGCATCTTCTCAGATCACAATGGCATGAAACTAGAAATCAATTGCAACAAGAACATGCAAAGACATTTCCACACATGGAGGCTAAATAGCATGTTATTAAACAATGAATGGGTCACCGAGGAGATCAAGGAAGAAATTTAAAACTTCCTGGAAACCAATGAAAATGAATACACAACAACACAAAATCTATGGGATGCAGCAAAAGCAGTTCTGAGAGGGAAGTTCATAGCACTACAGGCCTACCTCAAAAAACAAGAAAATTTTCTAATTGACTGTCTAACCTCACAACTTAAAGAATTAGAAAGCAAACAAAAAGAAAACCCCAGAGCAAGTAGAAGGAAGGAAATAGTAAAGATCAGAGAAGAAATAAATGATATAGAGACCAAAAAAACAATTCAGAGCATCAATGAAACAAAAAGCTGGTTTTTCGAAAAGATAAACAAGATTAATGGACCTTTAGCTAGACTCACCAAGAAACAAAGAGAGAGAACCCAAATACACAAAATCAGAAATGAAAGAGGAGAAGTAACAACCAACACCACGGAAATACAAAAGATCGTTAACAACTACTACGTACTACTATATGGCAACAAATTCGACAATCTGAGCGAAATGGACAAATTTCTAGAAACACGCAGTCTCCCAAAACTATTTCCGGAAGAGATAGAAAACTTGAACAGACCAATAACAACTAAGGAAATTGAAGAGGTAATCAAGACTCTCCCAGCAAACAAAAGCCCAGGCCCAGATGGCTTCACGGGGGAGTTTTACCGAACATTCAAAAAAGAACTAACACCCATTCTCCACAAACTCTTTCAAAAAATTCAAGAAGAAGGAAGACTTCCAAACACGTTCTATGTGACCAGCATAATTCTAATTCCAAAACCAGAAAAAGACACTACGAAGAAAGAAAACTACAGGCCAATATCCCTGATGAACATAGACGCCAAAATTCTGAACAAAATATTAGCAAATCGGATCCAGAAATACATCAAAAAAATTATTCACCATGACCAAGTGGGATTCATTCCAGGGATGCAAGGCTGGTACAATATTCGCAAATCAATAAATGTGATACACCTCATACACAAAATGAAGAATAAAAACCACATGATCATATAAATAGATGCTGAAAAGGGATTCAACAAAATCCAGCATTCATTTCTGATAAAAATGCTCAGCAATGTGGGAATAGAGGGATCATATCTAGACATAATAAAGGCCATATATGAAAGACCTACAGCCAACATCATACTCAATGGACAGAAACTAAAAACATTTCCATTAAGAACAGAAACAAGACAGGGATGTCCACTTTTGCCACTCTTATTTAACGTTGTACTGGAAGAAAGTGGAAGCACATACCCTGTTCATGGATTGGAAGAATTAACATCATTAAAATGTCCATACTACCCAAAGCAATCTATAGATTCAATGCAATCCCCATCAAAATACCAATGACATATTTCATAGAACTTGAACAAATACTTCAAAAGTTCATATGGAACCAAAAAAGACCCCGAATAGCCACAGCAATCTTGAAAAAGAAGAACAAAGTAGGTGGGATCACAATACCAGATATCAGGTTATACTACAAAGCGACTGTAACCAAAACAGCCTGGTACTGGCACAAGAACAGGCATATAGACCAGTGGAACAGAACTGAAAACCCAGAAATGGACCCAAGGCAATATGCTCAATTAATATTTGACAAAGGTGGCAAGAGCATACAGTGGACTAAGGACAGCCTCTTTAATAAATGGTGTTGGGAAAATTGGACAGCTACATGCAAAAAAATGAAACTAGACCATCAACTTACACCATACACAAAAATAAACTCAAAATGGATAAAAGACTTAAATGTGACCCGTGAATCCATAAAAATTCTAGAAGAAAATGTAGGCAACAAAATTTCGGACATCATACGCAGCAGAATTTTCACTGATACATCACCTAAGGCAACAGAAATAAAGGAGAAAATGAACACATGGGACTACATCAAACTAAAAAGCTTCTGCACAGCAAAAGAAACAATCATCAAAATGGAAAGGCAACCCACTGTATGGGAGAACATCATTGCCAATGATGTATCAGATAAGGGGTTAATCTCCAATATATATAGAGTGCTCATACAACTCCACAAAAGGAAGACAAAGAACCCAATTAGAAAATGGGCAGAGGAGCTGAATAGACACCTCTCCAAACAGGACATACAAATGGCCAAAAGACATATGAAGAAATTCTCAACATCACTAATCATCAGAGAGATGCAAATTAACACAACAATGAGGTATCACCTCACACCTGTCAGAATGGCCGCCATCAACAAATCATCAAACAACAAGTTTTGGTGAGGGTGTGGAGAAAAGGGAACTCTAATACACTGCTGGTGGGAATGCAGACTGGTGCAGCCGCTATGGAAAACAATATGGTGCTACCTCAAAAAATTAAAAATTGAACTTCCATTTGACCCAGTGATCCCACTGCTGGGAATATACCCTAAGAAGCCTGAAACACCAATCAGGAAGAATATATGTACCCCCATGTTCATAGCAGCACTATTTACAATAGCTAAGATCTGGAAACAGCCCAAGTGTCCACCAGTAGACGAATGGATAAAAAAGCTGTGGTACATATACACCATGGAGTACTATGCAGCGGTAAGAAAGAAAGATCTCTTATCCTTTGAGACGACATGGAGGGACCTGGAAAGTATTATCCTAAGTGAAAGAAGCCAAGCAGAAAAAGACAAATACCACATGATCTCACTTATATATGGAATATAATGAACATAACAGTCTGAGTAATACAGTAGACCCAGACACATGGAAGTAGGGCACAGACTGACATCCCTCAGAAGAGGGGATGGGGGGTGGGGAGGGTGGGAAGAGATAAACCACAGAACTTATATGCATGTATGCATGACCAATGGACATGGACAACTAAGCTAGGGATGGGGCGGAGGTGGGGTGGGGTGGGGGGTGCCAATGGGGTAAAAAGGTAAAATATCTGTAACAAAAAAATAAATAAAAATTCATATTAAAAAAAAAAAAAAACTCCTTAGAAATAGAATCATTCAAAATAAAAGATGGTACTTTCTTAGAAACAAAACAAAATAAAAATTAAAAATTGAACTTCCATTTTTCCTGTGATCCTGCTTCTAGAAATATACCCTAAGAAACCTGAAACACCAATCAGAAAGAATATATGTACCCCCCCTCCCATGTTCATAGCAGCACTATTTACAATAGCTAAGATCTGGAAACAGCCCAAGTGTCCACCAGTAGACGAATGGATCAAAAAGCTGTGGTACATATACACAATGGAGTACTATGCAGCGGTAAGAAAGAAAGATCTCTTATCCTTTGAGACGACATGGAGGGACCTGGAAAGTATTATCCTAAGTGAAAGAAGACAAGCAGAAAAAGACAAATACCACATGATCTCACTTATATACGGAATATAATGAACATAACAGTCTGAGGAATAGGGTAGACACAGAAATAGGGTACAGACTGACAACCCTTAGAAGAGGGGATTGTGGGGGTGGGAAAAGATAAACCACAGAACTTATATGCATGTATGCATAACCAATGGACACGGACAACAAAGCCGGGGACGGGGCCGCAGGGGGATGAGAAGGAGGGTGTCAATGGGGTAAAAAAGGAGAAACATCTGTAACAAAAATAAAATTTTTTTAAAAAAGGGAAAAAACACTAACAAAAAAAAAAAAGAAAAGAATATTACACCAACTTTGGAGGATTACTCAAATATTTTGGGTTTAACTCCAGTGATCCATGGAGCATCAGGGAAGTGATGAAATTACTCTTTAGTGATGATTTTTTTTTATTTAGTTCTTTTTCAAACCAATTTATACCACCACCAAATGGAACAATTTTACAAAAAATCTACTAAAACTGTACCATGGGCAAAAGTTACCAATACTGATTTAAAGAAGTATCTCAGTTTGTTGATATTGATGGGACAAACAAGAAAATCACATTGGAAGGATTACTGGTCAATGGACCCTTTGGTTGAAGCTTCAATATTTCCTAAAACTATGAGCAGAATGAGGTTAGAGCAAATTCTTACATTTTTCCATCTTAGTGATAATTCACAAAATACATCTAATGAAGACAGACTGTATAAACTTAGGCCTCTTTTGGATCACTTTCTTTCAAAATTTCAGTCTTTGTTTGTATCTATAAGAACGAGATGGAGCTGAGTAACCAGAAAGTGCAGGTTTATTGAGGGAAATACCTGCCAGGCTGCCTCCAAGTAGGGCGCAGCAGCCGGTTCATATAGACTAAGGGTTTTTAAACTTAGGGCTGGGGTTGGGGGTTGCCCCACCAAGGAACCGCAGTCATCCTTGATTGGTCAGGGCTGGGGTCTTTCCAAGAGTTGTTCTCCTCCAGTGGCTGTTTAGGTTTGGGTGGGGTTTCAGGATACTGTTCCACCTGGCTGGAGAGATAAGCTTTGGTTTCCTGGAATAAGGGGCTTGGGGTGAGGTTAAACAATAGGAGGCTGGGGGTAGTAATATGGAAGTTAAAGTTAACATTTCCCAACTGTTAGTTAGTATAAATTGAAATGTTAAAAAAAGTTTGTGTTGATCAAAATTTTGGGTTGACCCCTAGGGAGGGCCTCTCAGGCAAGAGTGTTGTTCTGTAGCTACTTCCTGCTGTTCTCCCTGTTGGTTGCTCCCCCTGGGGGGTTACCCTGGGGTAGAGGGGTGTAAGTTTGGAGTAGTAGTTGGTGGAGGCTATCCTGGAGAGTTTGGTAACTCGTGTTTGCAAAAATTTTAGGAAACAGGGAAGAAGTAAGAGAAGGAGGCAGATAATTATCAATGGACTGATGAATGTGGTAATGATGTTAAAAAGGGGATTAGACAACCATTGGCTTAGAGGTGAGGGTTCCTCGTGTCTGTGGTTATGGAGCCTCTCCTGTAATTTTTGAAGAGTTAATATTTTCCTCTACTATACCCAATTCATTGATATACTAGCAACATTTTTCTTGGAGGAAAAGGTAGGTACCTCCTTTCTCAGTGGTGAGAAGGTCCAGGGCCCATTGATTTTGGAGGGCAACCTCTGCTAGGGAGGTGAGTTGTCATTGTAGGGAGGCTAGGGAGGCAGCTGAGTTTTTGAAACCTCTTTCTAGATCCGCCTAAATTTGTTTAGTCATCTTAAGGCTGTAAGCCGAGTCCAGCTCCTCCAATTCCTAGGGCAGCTACTGAGGAGAAGAAAGAGAGGCCTACAATAAAAGGGAGAAAGATGGCCTGCTTCTGGTGGGGGTTTGGAGGTTTTTGGCTACCTCATCCTCAGTGTAATGTAGAAGCTGTGGGGCGAGAATTGCCAGGATAATGGGCCTGAAGAGGTGGTGTCAATGTGGTTGGTTAGAGTGTGGTTACACCAAAAGAAAGTTCCCCGAGGACTTGGAAAGTCAGAGGTAATTTGATGAGTTTGATTGCATGTCAGGTGGGAGATGTCCTTATAGTAGCATAGATTATAGGTGTTATTTGGGGTGTATAAGGGCATGTGGTCTAGGGAGAATGAGGAGGCAGGGTGGGTTTTAGAAATGTTTAAGGGATATGAGAGTGGGACTGTGGCCATCAGTTGTTGGTCTAGGAAGGCACAGAGAAAGCATTGAGAGGGCTCGACTTCTTGGGTTAGGTTTAGAACTAGGACTCCTTTTCTTATTAAATCTAGCCATTCAAAGGGGGTCTGTTTGTTGGAAAGGTGTTTAGTTAAGGAGTTTCTTGGGTTAAGATTTTGTGGATGAGATCTTCCAGTTTTTGGACTGTCGTCCTTTGCTGTGCCCACTTCTGGCCAATGGACATATAGTATTTAGAGAATCCTCTTGTAAGTATTCCATTTAGGCCTTTTTGCCATTTAGAATCCCAGGGATCTCCGATGCTGAGGACCCAGGGGACAGTGGGGGTAGTGTATTTGTGGTGAGTTATTTCAGTATCTGCCTCAGTAAATATAATTGTGTCTCCCCAGTAGAAAGATGATGTTGTGCAAGGAGCAGAGGTGGTGAGGTGTGGCAAGAAAGCCCTTGAGATTGTTGTAGGAGCACAGAGCCTCATCCCTGTATAGCTTTGAAGGTGGAATTGGTTTGCAATGAGCTTAAGAGCCACCAAACAATCTGTAAAGGGGAAGTCAGTGGAAGCAATTATTTGGGAGAAAGACCAGGTAGAGGAGACATTGAGAAAAAATCTCCAAATGTGCGGCTCAGGTCCGGAGCCTGAGGAAGAAAGTGGTGTGAGTAGGATAAGAGAGAGAAGAAGGAAAGACATCCTCTAGATGAGTAGAAAGAGAAGAAAAAAAGAATAAAAGTCAGTTTCAAAGAGCTCAATCAAATTCCTGAAAGGCTCCTTGCCAGGTGAGATCCTGGATCCAGGTGAGAAGTTCTTCTACTTCTGGACTGCGGGATCTGAACCAGGTGATGTCTTCCAAAATTTGAGTGAGGAAATAAAAAATCTTACAAGGTAGAGACTGTGCATTCTAGTTGATAGTGTTGGTTATAGCATGAGCTGTGAGTGAGTATATTGTCTTGAACGAGTCTCACAAGATAGTTTGGTTGTGTTCTTCTGCAATCAGTGAACATGAGGAAATTTTGAGGGATAAGGGACCTGTGCGTGTGAAGAAGTAATTTTTAGGACTCTGTGGAGTGTGATATGTGAGAGATGTGTCCAGTGAGAGTCCCCTTCAATTTTGACCGCCATGGGAGTGGAGAAAATGACTGTGTGTGGGCCGGTCCAGATTGGCTGGAGAGGTGTCTTTCCCTGGGTTTGTTTATATAACTGATCTCCTGGCAGTAGGGTGAGGTGAACCTTGTTGGTAGGAAAAGGTTAAGGTAGGAGTTTATTTACCCCTCAGTGTAAATTGGACCTCATATAAGCCAATGCTAGGAAGTAATCTCCCATGGCAGGGTCGAGGTTAGTTAAAGGACTGGAGTCTGGGACAAAGGGCCTGCTGTACATTATTTCAAAGGGGCTTAGGTTGAGGGGTTTCCTTGGTGTGGCACAAATTCTCATCAGAGCTAGGGGGAGGAGCTGAGGCCAGGGAAGGTGGAGCTCAAGAATGAGTTTAGTGCCCTGGCTGGTTTGGCTCAGTGGTTAGAGCATCAGCCTGTGGTCCGGAGAGACCCGGGTTCGGTTCCCGCTAAGGGCACGTACTTCGGTTGCAGTTTGTCCCTGGCCCTGGTTGATCGTGCGGTGGCAGCCACTCGATGTGTCCCTTTCACATCGATGTTTCTCTCTCTCTGTCTGTTCCTCTCTCTCCCTCCCACTCTATCTGTACAAAAAATGGAAAAATGTCCTCGGGTGAGGATAAATAAAAAAAAAAAAAAAAAAAAAAGAATGAGTTTAGTAAGGTGGTGTTTGAGAATTTGATTAGCCCGCTCTACTTTGCCTGAGGACTGGGGATGTTAAGTTATGTGTAGATGCCATTTAAGTCCTGGATGAGTTGAGAGTGACTGGGTGATGTGAGAGATGAAGGCTGGTCCATTGTCTGATTGTAATGTTGAAGGGAGGCCAAACCGAGGAATGATGTGCTCGGTGAGGATTGTGGCATCCTGGCTCATGTCCTCATGTTTAGTGAGAAATACCTCAATCAGCCAGAGAAGGTATCGACTAGAGTGAGAATGTATCTGAGTCCCTTGTATTTGAGCATGTGGGTAAAGTCTATTTGCCAATTTTGTGCTGGCAGTTGTCCCCGGGTTTGGTGGGCAGGGAATGATTTGGGATGAATTCCTCCTTGACGGGTGCAAGGAGTGCAGGTCTGGCAGGAAGATGTTATTTTCTTGAGGATTGTTGGGAGGTTATTTCCTGTTAGAAAGGCAGAGATGTAAAGGAGTAGGGGTTGGTATCCGATGTGGAAAGAATTATGTATAGATTGTAGGATATCCTTTGCCTGAGACTGTGGGAGTAGGAGTTTGTTTTCATTTATATACTAACCATCCTTCTGAGGCAAGGAAGAGTAGGCAGCCTTTTCATTGTTGGAGTATGATGAGTGTGAGAGGTCAGGAAATAAATGTGGGATCCTGGGGGCTGAGTGGCTATTTTCTTCACCACTCGGTCTGCTATGTTATTTCTTGTGGATATGGGGGAAGTGTTTTTCTGGTGTCCTCGACAATGGATGATGGCTATTCGGTTTGGCAATAGAGCTGCCTGAAGTAGGTTTTGTATGTAAGAATGGTTTTGGAGGGGTTCTCCTTTGTTTGTAAGAAAGCCCGCTCCTGCCAAATAGCCGCAGCCAAATGTAGGATGTAGTAGCAGTATTTTGAGTCAGTGTATATGTTGGCTGTTTTGCCTGAAGACAGAGTTAGAGCCCTTGTGAGGGCAATTAACTTGGCCTGCTCGGCATCCTGGGCAGTAATGATTGAGCCTCGAAGAGTTTTACCCAGTGATGATGGCATAAGCTGCTCGGGTAGATTCTTGTGATGTTTTAAGGGAACTTCTATCTATTAATAGGGTGAGATCTGGAGCAGGGAGGGGGTTAGGGGCGAGGTGGGGAAAGGGGTTGGAAGAATGTGTGAGCGTTTTAATGAAGTAATGAGTGGGGGGTGAGGAGGAAGTCAGTAGAAGCGTGGCAGGGTTTAGGCTGGAGCATGGCTGAAAGGTAAATTCAGGGTTTTCAATGAAAATGATGTGGATTTGTTGTAAACAGGAGGGTGATAAGTGGCTTAGGGCCTTGTGAGACAGTAGGTCTTGAAGGTTGTGTGGGGCTCTAATGAGTACCCTCTTACCAAAGGTAAGTTTTTGCTCTCAAGGGCCAGGAAGGCCACGACCACTAAGGCCCTGAGGCAGGGTGCCCACCCTTTGCATGTTGGATCAGTTCCTTTGAGAGGTAGGCTACTGGCACAAAGGGTGGTCCCTTTTGTTGTTCAAGGACCCTGAGGATGAGTCCTTGCTTTTTGGTAACATAAAGTATAAAATCTGAGTTTAAGTCTGGGAGATGTAGGGCTAGTACCTGAAGGAGGACCTGTTTAAGTTTAGTAAAATGTGTTTGTATGGGGAGTCTGGGGTCTAGTGGTTCTGAGAGCTCTCCTCTGGTTGCTTTATATAGGGGCTTTGCTAGGAGGCTATAATTAGGAATCCATGATGGGATGAAGCCCACAATTCCCAGGAAAGAAAGGAGCTCCTCTTTGGTTGAGGGAGTTGGTATAGAGGTAATGATATGTTTTCTATCGGTGGTGATAGCCTTTTTCCCTGGGGTCAGTTGTATTCTAGGTAAGTGACTTGGGGCAGAGAG